GGTGTATATGAAAACACCACACTGTACCCCATGATTGCATTAATGTACACAGCTATGATTTAATAAAAAAAAATTCAGCATCCTTGGCTCTGCACCTGTGGCTCGAGTGGCTAAGGCACCAGCCACATACACCTGAGGTGGCGGGTTTGAATCCAGCTCAGGTCAAACAACAATGACGGCTGCAACTGAAAAATAGCTAGGCCTGTGGCAGATGCCTGTAAACCCAGCTATTTGGGAGAAGAAGGTGGGAGAATCACTTGAGCCCAGGAGTTGGAGGTTGCTGTGAGCTATGCTGCCACAACACTCTACCCAGGGTGACAGCTTGAGGCTCTGTCTCAAAGAAGAAAAAAAAAATCAGCATCCTTTTCTAATTAGAACTCTGAAGAATACAGGCATAGGTGGCACATTTCTTAAACTGATTGAAGCCATCTGACAAATGCACAGCTAATATTATAGTGAATGGAGTAAAACTGAAAGCATTTCCACTCAGAACTGGAAGTAGACCAGGTTGTCCTGTGTCACCACTACTATTCAACATAGTACTAGAAGTTCTAGCCAATATAATCAGGCAAGAGAAGGAAATGAAAGGTATCTAAATGGGGGCATAGGAAGGTAAAGTCTCCTTCTTTGCTGACAATATGATCTTATACTTAGAGAACCCCAAAGGCTCAACCACAAGACTCCTGGAAGTCATCAAAAAATACAGTAATATCTCAGGATATAAAATCAATGTCCACAAATCAGTAGCTTTTATATATGCCAATAACAGCCAAGCTGAGAAGCTAATCAATTTCCTTCACAGTAGCTTCAAAGAAATTGAAATACCTAGGAATACACCTAACAAAAGAGGTGAAGGGAAGAAGATTACAAAACCCTAAGAAAAGAAATAGCAGAAGATATTAACAAATGGAAAAACATACCATGCTCATGGCTTAGAAGAATCCACATTGTTAAAATATCTATACTTGCCAAAGCAATCTATAGATTTAACATAATCCCCATTAAAATACCAACATCATACTTTCAAGATTTGGAAAAAATAATACTTCATTTTGTATGGAACCAGAAAAAACCCTATATGGCAAAGGCAATTCTTACTAATAAAAACAAGGCCAGGGGCATAAGTCTACCAGACTTTAGGCTGTACTAGAAGGCCATAGTGATCAAAACAGCATGGTATTGGCCCAAAAATAGAGACATAGACATCTGGAACTGAATAAAAAACCATGAGATGAAACCAATGTCTTACAGCCACCTGATCTTCAATAAATCAAACAAGAAGATATAGTAGGGAAAGAATCCCTATTCAATAAATAGTGTTGGGAGAACTGGATAACCACATGTAAAAGACTGAAACTGGGCTCAGTACCTGTGACTCAAGTGGCTAAGGTGCCAGCCACATACACCTAAGGTGGCAGGTTCAAATCCAGCCCAGGCCCACCAAACAACAATGACGGCTGCAACCAAAAAATAGCCGGGCATTGTGGTGGGAGCCTGTGGTCCCAGCTACTTGGGAGGCTGAGGCAGGAGACTCACTTGAGCCCAGGAGTTGGAGGTTGCTGTGAGCTGTGATGTCATGGCACTCTACCCAGGGGGACAGCTTGAGGCTCTGTCTCAAAAAAAAAAAAAAAAAAAGACTGAAACTGGACTCACACCTTTCCCAACTCACTAAAATTGATTCAAGATGGATAAAAGATCTAAATTTAAGGCATGAAAAAATAAAAATCTTTGAAGAAAGTGTGGGGAAAACACTTGAAGATATTGGCCTGGGGAAAGATTTCATGAAGAACACTCCAGTGGCAATTGCAACAAGAAAAATAAACAAAGGGGACTTAATTAAACTGAAAAGCTTCTGTACCAGCCAAGAAGACAACAACCAAAGCAAAGAGATGACCATCAAGAATGGAAAAAGATATTTGCATATTATCTGTCAGGCAAAAGCTTGATAACAAGAATCTACAGAGAATTCAAATTAAACAACAGAAAAAGAGCCAACAATCCCTTTTATCAATGGACAAGAGACATGAATAGAACTTTCTCTAAAGAAGACAGATGGATGGCTAACAAACATGTAAAAATGCTCATAGTCACTAATTACCAGAGAAAGGCAAATGAAAACCACCCTAAGATATCACCTGACCCCAGTGAGAATAACCCACATCACAAAGTCTCAAAGGTGCAGATGCTGGCGTGGACATGGAAAGAAGAGAACACTTTTACACCGCTGGTGGGACTGCAAACTAATACAACCTTTTTGGAAGGAAGTATGGAGAATCCTCAAAGAACTCAAACTAGACCTCCCATTTGATCCTGCTATCCCATTACTGGATATCTATCCAGAAGAAAAAAAAAATCCTTTTATCATAAGGGCACTTACACTAGACTTTCTTGCCCCTCAATTTACAATCACCAAATTGTGCAAACAACCTAAATGCCCATGAACCCAGGAATGGATTAACATGCTGTGATATATGTACACCATGGAATACTCTTCAGCCACTAAAAAAGATGGAGACTTTACATCTCTTGTATTAACCTGAATGGAAGTGGAACACATTCTTCTTAGTAACGCATCACAAGAATGGAGAAACAAGAATCCAAAGTACTCAATTCTGATATGAGGATGATTATTGATCTAATACATGGTAAGGGGTGGGGGAAGAGGGGATCAGAGAGAAAGAGGGAGGGTGTGGGGTCATGGTATGTGACACAACTCTTAGAGGTGGGACACAATTATAAGATAAGGTGACCACACGTCCTGTTTTTGGCAGGACAGTCCCTATTTTTAAAAATTTGTCCTGTGTCCCACGGTGTTTTAAAAAAGTCCCAATTTTTGGAAAGAATGCACAACAAGCTAGGGAACGGTGGGACAACAGGAAGGGAATATACGGTTGGCTGCTGAAAAGGTTAATGCAACTCCATTTGGGAATGAAGAGGTTAATGTAAACTCCCTACTTCCCTCCTGGGCAAGGTCGCCCAGGTGGACCAGTGCCCTACTCCTTTGAGCCACAGGCACCGCCCTATATATAATTTTTTTAATGTAATATATTTGTAAATTGTACTTATGTTGAAATTAAAATATATATATATTACAATACTATTTTTGCTTTCTATGAAAATTTTTGTTGCTCCACGTAGACCAAATTTCTAATTAAGAACACACACACAACCCACCCCCTTCACCCCCCCCCCACCCCTGTCAATGGTGTCCCGCTTTACCAATGTTAAAATCTGGTCACCTTATTATAAGAGGGACTTTACCTAACAAATACAAGCAATGTAACCTGGTTCTTTGCCTCAATGATTCCCCAACAAAAAAAAAAAAAAAAAAAAGCCTGAGGCAGAATAAAAAAAAAAAAACTTTGAGGAGCATGATATATTCACTTTAAAAACAGAGCCTGCTAACATTTGTCTCTGTTATTATTATAAGAGCTACAGAAACATACCAAAAACAAGACAAAATAAAAAGACCTAAAGTTTTTTTAACAAAGCAAACCTTCAGTTTTCCTCTTATAGACCTCCCCTTTTTCTAGAACAAGACCCATAGAAAAAAAGGAACACAAGCTCTGCCTCCAGCAGGCAGTGGTGATGGGCTGAGCAAGGGCACTAGGCAGCTTGTATGGACACAGCCCTGGCCTGGTCCTGGAGGAGCACATGGTCCCTGCCCTCTGGGTGCTCTGAGGGGACAGAGATGCCATCAGGTTCATTTTACCTGGCTCTTACCCCACTACCAAAGTTTGGTTTACCAGGGTCGAGCTGACAAACCCAACGATCAGGCCAAGCAGCTACATGTAACCCAAGCACAAAGTTTTATTAAGTACAGTACACTGCAGAGAAGGAACAGGTCTGTCTCTGAGAGTGGAGATGACCCTGACCCCTGACAACCCTGCCTCTTCGGACATGTCTGTTTTCATATAATGAGCTGAAGGTCCCTCCCTTCAATAGGCGGGACCTCCATTTCCTGCCTTTGGGTGATTGACAGGTTTCCTTCCATAACTCTCTTCCTCTGTGCCTTCGTTTACCCAGAATTCTTTTTAAAAGCCTGTGGGGGGTCAAAACCGCAATGCTATTTAGATGGTAATGACCAACCCTTCATCCCATCAGTTAAGGACACTCAAAGTTCCCTGGCTCCCGTGCTCCAGTCTGCCCCATCTGTGGTTTTTACCAGGTCTTGCTTTGCAGTTTTTCTACCTCTTCTAACTGGTCAGCTCCTACATTCTCCTACCACACACAAAACACCCATTCCTCTTTCCTCTTCCCTATCCCCACCTAACATACCCTAGAGAATGGCACCCATTACAGACAAGCAACCAGAGACAGCTCTGAGCCTGGGAACAGGAACAGGTGGGACAGGGGCTCCCCAAAGAGGGGATTATAACAGATGGCAAAGCAACCACTCACTCATTAATTTACTCATCCATTTCTGTTAAATTCAGACACTCTGAGGAACTGAGGACATGGACAAAGACAAAGCACAGTTCCTCCCTTAGAAAAGCTCTCAGCCCTGCAGAAAGGATGGACACACCTACAAACAACCATGGGCCTAGAACAAGAGGTGCATCCATGCACATCCCACTGCGTGTGTGCACAGACAGGAAGGGCAGGCACAGCCACCTGGCCGTGTGCAGACAGCAGGGGGCCACCAGGCACGGGCACATGTAGGGAGACTGAACATGGGAAGACAGCATGGGCAGACAGCAGGAGCCACCAGGCAGGGGCACAGCAAGATAGGTCTTCATCTCACTGGCAGAGCAAGTGGGTGCCAGGGAAGAAAGTGAAGGACAAGGCCAGCTGGGCCCAGATTCAGAGGGTTATGTTTGCCCAGCCATAGGCACAGAGCTCCTGGAGGATGCCAACAACAGAGGACATGATCACCCTAACCTGAGGGAGGGGGCAGGCTGGGCCAGCAGGGGAGGGGACCCAGGGGTTGAGCCAGGGCGGGTGATGAGGCCAAGTGAGCCCGCAGTGGGGGCTGCAGTCTGAGAAGGGCCCAGGGCCCCTTAGTGCTTGAAGTGAGGCCAGGTGCTGATGATGTTGTACAAAGCCTGCCCAGGGGACAGGGTGCTGGTCACATCACTGTGGCCCACCAGCAGGTAGTCAGGAGCCAGGTACCCCTTGACCACGGCGCATTGGATCAAGGCCTGGGCTGCTTCCAGTGCCGCAGCATTGGGTGGGGAACCTGCAAAACATGGCTGGCTCATCACCCAGTTTTCTAGTGCACCCTGCCCAGGGTGGGAGACACTCTCAGACCCCACCCCAGCCCACCCCCCAACCACCAAGCTAGTATGTGCACCCTATAGACAGAAAACCAGGCCAAGACTTCACATTCCTCAGTGCCAACATTTTAAATCAAAAGGGCTAAGGCTAGGATAATATAGACAATTCCGGAAGGACACAAAGCCTTAATCCGCTACAAAAGTTTAACCAGGGAGTTCTCTATGGGGAGAGAATTTAGGCCCCTGAGGGACATTCAACAATTCCTGGGGACATTTTTGGCTGTCAAAACTGGGGGTCAGACTGATGCTATTGTCCTCTAGTTGGTAAAAGCCATGGATACTGCCAAACAATCCCAGGACATGACGGCCCCCAACAAAGAATTGTCTGAGCCAATATGTCAATCATGCCAAGTGGGAGAGGTCCTGCTCTGGCCATAGCTGTGCTGCCTGTGCACAGGCCTGAGCTCACTGCCCGGCCCCACCAGTGCCCATTGCAGCAAAAGCCTGAACCAGCCCCAGTGGCATGGCCTCCTACTTCCAAAGGCTCAGCCAAAGGCCCTTGAGTCTAAACAAACTCTGGTCGAGAGCCCCAGGCCAGGAAAATGCCGTGTGCACTCAGTGCAAACGGGGCTCAGTATGGCTTTGGTGTGTAAGGCAAGGTGTCCCCAAATTGCTGCTATAACCAGGAAGGGAAGCATCTGCTGAGTAAGAGGAACTGAAAATTTGCACAAACTGTTTTTCCCTTTGCTTCTCATGTTCCTTAGGTACTAGAAGAGAGAGACACTTGGCTGAGTGTGATGTAGCCCTGCTGTGACCTCTGGTCACACTCAGCTGAGCCAAATGCCAGATTTTTGAAGGTGGGTCAGTCCAGCGTCTACAGGTGCTGAAATGATGCCTGAGCCTGGGACAGTCTGTGTTAGATGCTCCTCCTAAAATGCCATGCCATGATGCTACTGCCCACAGTGGCCACTTACCTGTGAAGGTGCCCATGAAGGCAATGCCCAGAGCAATATCATTGTAGCCAGGGGTGCGGGAGCCCTGGGTGTTCCAGCCCACCCCTTCGTAAAGGAGGCCATCCTGGCCCACGAGGAAGCTGGAGGGAGAAAGAGACTCACGTGAAAGGGAGGCACTCATTCATTAACTGGTCGGTGCCCTCACCTGTCAGACTTTGCTTATCTATCACCTTCTAAGACTGTGTCACAGGGGCAATAAAGCCCAGTCCCCATGTTGCCTGTCCCAGTAAGCCAACCTGGGAGACTGAGCCAGGGTGCCAGAGGGATCCTGATTTGCAGCGTTTGCTGATTTCTGTGCCATAAAACTCCCACTAGAGCTGACTTCAGGCTGCCAATGATTCAATAGCTGGCTCTCAAAATTCCTGAACCCCCTAGCAACCAGCCAGCACACGTCCATCTGGCTCTAGCACTGCCACGCCACCCACGTGGAGAATGAGCCGAGAGCACTGCAGCCGGCAGCGCGGGGCCTTTCCCCGCCACTAGGGGGCATTCCCCCACGTGACCCAAGACTTCCAGCCACTGTAGACCGCAGGCCTTTGTCCCTGCACGCGCGACCCACCGGCCATCTCCCCTCCTGCAGACCTTCCCCTCCCCGCCTCCACCACACCTTGCTCTGGAGCCTTCTTCCTCTCTGGCTGTCCCCTGCACTTTGTCATCCTGTGCCCTCTCCTTAAATGAGGGGTTCCTCAGGCTGCTGCCCTAAGCCCTCTTCTCTCCTCACTTGACCTCTCCTCTCAGGACCGACCTAGTCGCTTCCTTAGTTTCAGTTGCCGTCGGTGGAAGGCCACACGGTCACAATGGGGCCACCTTCTTCCCGTGTTTCCCTTTCTGGGGTCCCTATCTTGGTGAAAAGCACTGCCACCCACTCGCCCCAGCCGGGAATGCGGGCGTCAGCCCTTCCCCCCACTTTACCACCCCCCAGCCAGGGCTGGGTATGGTGTCCCCCAGGGCTGGGTATGGTGTCCCCCAGCCACTTCCTCCACCTGGCCTCGCACCGTCGCTGTGAAGCACTGGCCTGCTCCACCCGCTCAGTTCCTCCACTTCCCTCACTTCCCATCACCACCCTGTCCTGCCTGCAAGGCTGCACAGCCCCCAGATCATGCCACCTCCACTTTACCCTTTTTCTAATCCATTCCTGAAGCAATAGCCAGACTGTTCTGTCTGAATCCCAGTATCGCCATGTCAGAGCCCTCTTCTCAGTCCTCAGCACCGTTCCAACTCCCCAGTGGGAGTTACAAGATCCTCCTGATAGGACCCCCTGCAGGCCTTACTCCCACTCCAGCATCTGTATTTGTCATACTAAACTTCTCTCAGATCCTCTGAGAAGGAACTCAGGCCTCCTGCAGAGGCTCCTCCCCGCTGTCCCCTCTCACTTGCCCCACTCCCTGTCCCTGAGAGGTCCGCACTCTGCTGCTCACCCAGGGTATGGCCCCTTGCCATCTAGGCCTCTTATCTTCCCTTCCTGTGTCCCATCATGATGCTTCAGCTACCCTTCTAGGACCTCTTATTTAATTATTTTTCTCTCTCAGTAAAGCATTAGCTCCAATGAAGGCAAGCACGATAGCTTTGCCATGGCTGCTGGTATCCCGAGAGCTTGGCCTTGTGCCTACACAGAGGACATGCTCTATCATGTCTTCAGTGAATTATAATTTATGAGAAAGTGAGTGTTTAATCCTAACTACAGGCCATCTCAAGATAAGCATTGACACAGTCATGAAGTTGTAATAGAAGGAGACACCACAGGTCAAAAGTCAAGGGACAAGTCCCCTGAAACCTGAGTGGAAAAGAGACAAGAGGCTGCATATCAGCCACTGCCATGTTCCAGTTCAAGATTTTCGGGTATGTAGTCCGTTTTCAGGTGTCCGCTCTAATTGAAAAGAGCAGTGCTGGAATAATCCTGTAAGAACCAGTGAGCACTTAGCAGGTCCCAACAGATGATAGATGTCAGAGGGAAGGTCCTCTCCTATCACAAAGGGATTGCTGCAAAAATGGGCAGAGAGAGAGGATAGTCAGCTCTGCTACATATATTAGCAATGGCAAATTCATCTACGGTGGGGTCCCTGCACATGGCCCTGCAGGTTACCTCTGGCACAAAAGTGCCTGTCTTGGGAACAGTAGGGACTAAAATCCAGCCCCACCCACTAAAGCCATGAATTCCCCTAGAGTCAGGGGACCCTTCTATGAATGTGTACAAATGCCAGGTGGCCTTGTACTGGCCTGTCCTGACACATAAGGTTTAGTGTGATTGTTTCTGATGGGACATTAGACGAGGTCTGACCACAGATGTCCTATCAGCAATCTCTGAACGCACCCTTCAAGAAGTTTCTACTGTTCTGTGGACCATTTGTTTGTATGTGTGGGTAGCAGTTTCATTAGTTTTTTTAATCAATACTTTTTAATGGAAAAGCTTTGACCAAAAATTTGTCACAGAATTCAAAGACCCATTAAAATAAAACTTAATGAAAACATAAATTTTTATTCTCCCATTAGGTTAATGTGTTCTTTATTAAAGAATCACAGACCCTGGCGTTAGAGAAATGGACAAGCATGATCTGGTCTCTCCTTGCTTTCAGACAGAAAGGACACTCCCTCCATAGAAAGTGACAGTTTCTAGAATCAGAGAAACAGCAGCAGGCTAAAGCAAAAGGGAAGAGCTTCAGACTATGGCCACATGAGAGGCACTGGGCAGTGGGAGGTGACTACATGACAAAGGCACAGCCTTCCAATTACCTTTTACTGGTTTTACAGTCTTGCACACACACTGCTTCCTCTAATGTCTGTTTAGGAAAGTCTTGGCACCCATCATGTCAATTACTACCTCTAAAAGGTGCACACTTTGGGAGCACGCTCAGAGGGAGGCCCACTCAGGACTGTGTAAGCAGGAATGAGGTCATTCACAGCAATACCACCCTACCCCACCACTGCCATGGTGCATGCTCAGCAAATATTAGCCCTCCCTTTGTTGCAAAGGTTCAGTTTCTGCCCCCTAAAGGAAGAGTAGCTTGCCATGTCAGGTCCACTTACTTATAGCCAATATCGCATAACTTGAATCTGTCCACCTGGAGGGACTGGATGTCCCGGGCCAGCAGGCGACACTCCTCTGACACATTGCATGTCCTCCCAGCAGTGTGGATGATGATGGCATACTTAGCTGGGAGGTTCATCCTTGGGCAGTAGGCCTCCCTGGCCCCCCAGACAGACCGCGGGACAATACTGGGACAAGCTGTGGAAGGACAAAAAACCATGGAGGATTCATTTTTGCTCATCTCCCTACTGAGGTCAACACACACCTCAGGATCCTTGGCACCCACCACCTTTGGGCACTCACCCTGGCCCTGTCTTCAGGACTTGTGAGCACCTGCCTTCTATGGGTGTTTTATTCTGAAGCCCTCTCTTTAAGAGTCATTTGTAATCCATAAAACTCTTTCAGTTAATACGGATGGATGGCACCAGTCCAAAGGCAGAGACCAAATTTATACGATTTTGAGTGTTTCTGTTTGTTAAACCCAAAACAAAGTCTACCTTTTATTACCTGAATTGTGTTAAACTCTTCATTTAAAAAGTGTTTTCTCTTTATTTATTTTTTTAATTTCAGTTTAATGTGAGGGTAGGGTAGAGGATTAGGTTACATTGTTGCATTTGTTAGGTGAAGTCCAAATTGTAGTGGTGCCCCTCATCTCTCACCACTTACAAAAATTGACTCATGATAGATAAAAGATTTGAATCTAAAACACTAAATGATAAAAGTCCTAGAAGAAAGTGTGAGACTTAAGTTTTCTTTAGTACTTCAGTCTATTAGTGTTGTTCTGGTTTTTGCATTCAGAGATGTGTGTTTGTGTATGAGCGTGTGAATGCAGAAATGTGTGTACAAATAGGTCTGATCCCTTTCCATGCTTTTTTTGTCCTCTAGAGAACTTTTCACAATATATCATACCAAATATGCTACTTGTTTGTTTATTTATTATCTTTTCTCTACCTTCTAGATTGACACTTCATGAAGTCAGAAATTTTTGTGTTTCCGTATATCCTAAAGGTCTATCAGGTGCTCAATAAATATCTATCTGGGATTGAAGAAATAAGTGTGCATGTATGACCCTGGGTGCCATGCCCTGGCTCTATAAGTTTAGAAATCAAGGGATAAAGAGGTGGCCTTCAGGGTCCTTCTCAAGGTTGCCAGCCCTGAAGGTTCACATAGTTGGGTGACAGTTGTCCATCAGCAGGAGAGCCCCACTGACAGAGTCACTCTTGGTGGTGCTTGAGAGTTAGTGAGGAGGGAGGGAGGTCCAGAAGAGCAGAAGGTCTTACCTTTCTTCAGACTCGCCTTCTGCTGAGGGACCAGGCAGTTCTCACTTTTCACAAGAAGCGGCTGAATATACTTGGATGCCAGGTGTCCCTTCTGGACAGCAGAGGAAATAAGGCCCTTCATGGTTAACAGGGCATCAGGGCTGGGGCTGTGGCCTGGAAGAAAGCACTCTGTGGGAGCCTTTGGTCTGGCCTGAGACTCCGGGGACACCCCAGGGAGGGTAAGATGTCAGGCCAGCCCCCACATGGCACTGAAAGGGAAGGAAGGAAGCAGATCATTCCTCAGTAAGCCAGAAAATCAGGGGTCTGCCTGGACAGACTGTCCAAGGCTGAGGATGAAGTCCTTTCCCAAACACTTGCCGAGACTCCGTTCACTTGCGCCTTTCCTGAGAAGAGTGCAGAGGCAGTGCCAGGCTCAGGAGCACCTGCCCGGCCAGGTCAGGGCGTCCACCCAGTAGGCCTCTCCAGGCACATGCTAGGCTTCTCCCCACATGACCTCATTTCATCCCCACCACAAACTTCTGGAGTAGATGCCTCTGTGAACCCCCTTATTCATGAAGGGAAACTTGAGACTCCAAGAGGGAACACGCTCAAGATCCCAAGCTAACAAGTGGCAATGAGTAGTAACAGGAAAAAACAAGTGGAACATAACTCTGCGTGTGAGAGCCCACCTGGAGGTGGGCAGAGCAGACATGGGCTCATGCCTCTCCTCTCCTCCTGCTGTGCCGCTTGGGTCGTTCACATCTCTGTGGCTTAGACACAACTTTGCAAAACGGGGATTATGAAATCTACCCAGACTATCTCAAAAGGTATCGGAAAGACAAAATGAAAAAGTAGATAGGCAAGATCTCTGCCACCAGGGAAGGGTGCACAAATTCAAAGAATGGTGCTGGGATGTATGTGTTGGGGTGCAGGTGGTGATGGGATGTGTGTGTTGGAGTGCAGGTGGTCCTGGGATGTATGTATTGGGGTGCAGGTGGTCCTGGGATGTGTGTATTGGAGTGCAGGGGGTTCTGGGATGTGTGTTGGGGTGCAGGGGGTGCTGGGATGTATGTGTTGGGGTGCAGGTGGTGCTGAGATGTGTGTGTTGGGGTACAGGTAGTACTGAGATATTTGTTGGGGTGAGATGGTGCTGAGATGTGTGTGTTGGGGTTCAGGTGGTACTGGGATGTGTGTTGGGGTACAGATGGTGTTGGGATGTATGTGTTGGAGTGCAGGTGGTCCTGGGATGTGTGTGTTGGAGTGCAGGTGGTCCTGGGATGTGTGTGTTGGGATGTGTGCATTGGGGTGCAAGTGGTGCTGGGATATATGTGTTGGGGGGCAGATGGTCCTGGGATGTGTTTGTTGGGGTGCAGGTGATCCTGGGATGTGTGTGTGTTGGGGTGCCAGTGGTGCTGGGATGTGTTTATTGGGGTGCAGATGGTGCTGGGATGTATGTGTTGGGGTACAGGTGGTGCTGGGATGTATGTGTTGGGGTACAGGTGGTGCTGGGATGTGTGTGTTGGGGTGCAGGTGGTGCTGGGAAGTGTGTTGGGGTACAAGTGGGGGGAGTGTGGCTTGGAGCATTTGACTAGAAGGAAGTGGAAGAGATTAGAGGCCTCAGAGTAGTTTTTAAAAAGTATCTAGAAAATCTAGGAGTAATAGAGAGAAGGAATAGGGGCCTGTCAGGAGTCCAGAAACCACACAGCCTGCAGATGCAGCACCATGAGAGCTGCAGAGAAAGAGGGGACAAGGGCTGAAACCCAGACCTTTCCAAGGGAGAGCAGAGAACAGCCTTGTAGGAAGACAGTGGGTTAGCACCTCACTGGTGAGAGGGTGAGAGGAAGAGGAGCCTGCTGAAGGGGGAAGGAGCCCAGAACAGGAGGAGGCCCCACTGCAGGGCTGTGTTGGGGGGAGTCAAGGAGGAGGAATTCCGAAAGAGAGTGGGTCTTCAGGGAAGGCTGAGGAGAGAGCAGAGTGGCCGCTGAGACAGGACATCTCACAGATGCCTGACACAAAGGAATGAAGAACTCTTCAGAGAAGGTTGGCTAAGATAATCATTACCTTCCTTAGTGCCGAAGAAGGCAAAACCCAGGGAGATGTTGTTGTAACCTTGGGTGTGCATCCCTTGGACATTCCAGCCCACACCTTCATACACCCTGCCATCATCCCCCACCAGGAAGCTGTGAGACAGAGGAAATGGGTTTGATGGCTGGTACTATAGCACATTCCTGAGAGAGGGACCCTCGTACCCAGCCTCAAAAGGGGGGAGGGCTTGAGCCATGCCCACTAAAAGGAACTTGTGTGGACTCTTCTCAGACAATGGAAAGACCAAGTTATTTGTACCAGTCCTTAGAATTCAGAAGGACCCACTCCCACACACCACACCTCCCTCCCTTGCTCAGGTGCCAGAGTCTTATATGAATCACCCCATGCACTTGGAAGGAGGAGAGGTCCTGGACCCTCTGCAGTAACCCACCCACCCAACCACTAGAAGGAAGGCTCCTCTTGGCCTCCACATTTTCTTAACTACAGTCCTCCTCCCTCTCCCAAAGCTCATGCTGCTTGTGTTGCCCTGCCAGGAACTGCCTGTGAGGTAGTGCCCCAGGCAGGATATGGACACAGGCACTTACTTGGGAAGGGATCCCAGAAGCCCGAGTGAAGGAGCAAGGAGAGGGAGACAGAAGGGAGAAACCCAGCAAGTGTGCAAAGGTTGGCTGGCTCACAGCAGCCACCTGGCCTATCCTCACCCCTGGCCTTGTAGGGAACTGTGAGCTTTAGATTGTCCCTGAGAGGATCCAGGGCGAGGGAGCTACTCATCAACTCCTGCCCCCAGTGGGCATCCCTTCCCCTTTGTCATCAGGGGCTGGAGAAAGCATGAAGCAGGAAAGAGAGACACATTGGTCCTTGAGGAGGGATACCATCACCATGTCAGGAACTGTCCACAGCTAGCCAGAGTCAGAGGTGGGCCAAGGACATGCAGCATGGACACCAGCAGGGCCTACCAGAGTGACCATTAGGGCAACAGGCAGTCAGGCGGTCACCTGCTGGAGAGGAGCATGCTGTGGGCAAAGAGCCACTTCCCGGAAATCACACGACCTCCCACCCTCCAGTCCCCTCTCCTGTAGCAAGGACAAAGCAACACTTGCCTCCCAACCTCAGAGCTTTTGAGGAGCAGACACCCTTGTGCAGATAGAAGTCATTGTAACTCAGATGCTGTGTGCACCACAGGCTGGAAGGGTGGAAAGAGCGGTTTTCACTCAACCCCCCTGCTTCCTTTGGGGAGATTTCAGGTAGGGATCTCCCTGAAATTTCCAAAAGACCTAGACATGTCACTGGGGTTTTAAATATCTTACTCATTATAAAACTTATATAACTACAACCCAGAAAATGAGGAAAAGAGATGAGAAGGGACAGGAGAAGCACGCCAGGGCAGCAGTGTCAATGCCAAACCTCAGCCTAGGCCCAGCCCTTACTTGTAGGCCACATCACACCCGCCATTGCTGTGGACATGGTGGTCCTGCAACTTGCACAGCCTCTGACTGCATCCAGTCTGGTCGTGACACTCCAGCCCAGGGACATGGTGTATAATGAGGACATCCACTGGCGTAGTCAGATGAGTACTGCAGCCCACAGCCTCTGCCCCCCACTCCTTGTGTGAGATCATGGCAGAGACATCTGTGGAGAGCCGTGGGGGATGTCGGTCAGTGCGGCTGCTCCAGGTTGCCCATTAACCACCTGGGCTGCAGGAGCAGAGCCAAGGTGTGCTATTCTCTCCTAGAAAGAAGCCTTCAGCAAGCAGGTACTCCCTCTCCTGCCCACCTCCATGTCCCCATGTCAGCAGCACTCACCCCAACACAGAAGCCACACCAACCAGGGAACCTAGGTGCTTTGCTCCCCCATCCCAGACATCCTCCAAGGACAGACCCCATTGTCCACCTCTTCCCTGCGCTGGCCCAGCCCACACTTATGGGAGCATCTCCGTCTCTCCTGCTTATCCCTGGGGAAGCCCTGAGCAGCCTTGCTCGGCTTCACTGCAGTGCTCACACCCTAGGTATGTGCTTGCTGACCAGCTGTGGCCATACATACTCCATGGGAGCTACATCTCCCCAGCCTGGGACTGCCTCTGAGCAGGGCTGTGTCTCCTCCTTAGTCTGAGGACTACTTGACACAGGGTTTGAGTCTCCACCCTCAAGCCAGGGGGCCCCTGTCTGCAGAGGCTGCTTCTCCCTTTTCCAGTTTTCTATCCCCTCCCAGCATCACACCCCTTCCCCAAGGACCTAGGACAATCCATGCAGGTGGCTTCTGGTGCAACTCTCCGCCCCTCAACCCCATTCACCCATGCCACTCTGCAGACAGGCAGTTCTGCACACTTCAGAGACACTTCTGGCCACATAAAAAACCCCAGCTGGTCCCCACACTTCCTCACCATTGAGACCCAGTTTGCCTTTCTCAATGAGCTGGGAGATGTTGCCAAACAAATACTGCAGCCCCTCTGATGTCTGCTTAGCTTGTGTTTTGCCCCAGGAAGAGACACCTGCAAAGGAACATTCCATTTCTCATCAGAGAAAGAGAGTTCACAGAGCTCAGTATCAACATCACAGCAGCTAGGAACCATCCCTCTGCCTCCCAAGGTAACATCAGATGGCATGGCTTCCTCCAACACCAACGCCAGGCGGTGCCCCAGGGTGACAGTTAAATAGGAAAGGGCAAGAGTTGGAAATACTATGTTTTTCTCATGATCTGCAGCTATACACTCAATTAGCAAAAAGCACCTGCAAACATACTCAGGCACTTCAAAGCCACAGAGCTCTCTCGGCTGTGAGTTTGATCTGAGCAGTCAAGAGTCTGGAAGAGGGGTTAGTATTGCCTGCGTGGATCAGTCCAGTCCCCCAGGATTGATTTTCGGGGCACTTGCTGTGTCTATGTTCCTGCTCCAAGGACAGTGGGAGGTGGGGGTGTCCACTGACATCCTCCCCCCAAGGAAGTTTCTCTCATTGATGAGCAGAAGCCCAACTCAGAGGTTAGACTCTGATTGACGTCAGAATAAGATAAATATAGCTATCTATTTGCCTTTACTGCCTAAGACCTGTGTTCTTCATGTGCATTATCTCATTTGATCCCCACAACAAGTCTAGGAGGTTATAACCTTATCTCAATTTTCAGATGGGAAAATTAAGGTAAAAAGAACTGAATCACTCGTTTAAAGTCATCACCACTAGAGTCAAGGCAAGAACTAGAACTCCAGTCTTTTGACTCTGAGTTCTATACTATAAATAAAATCTGTTCTAAGATTTTAGGATGACCCTTCTCAGTTACTCTTCAATCTAGGAAAAGAAAACTTACCCCAGACTTGGAGACCCAGACTGGAGAAGATAAGAAGACACAGAAGCATCCTCACGTGGGCCCAGGACACTGACTGGGCGAGCATGGACGGCAACCCTGGGAGCAGCACAGCCATTGGTAACATGTCTGCATTCTGCAAACCCGGCAGCCCCCACGCCAACCACCTTACCCCCAGCTGCCCCCCTCAACGCCCTGCAGGCCCCCTGGAGGCCAGCACCTGGCTCGGGTGTCTCAGTCCCTGGTACATGACACATACTCAGCAACTTCATCCAGTTACCCTGGTTGCTCAAGTTCATTGAGAGCCTACTGTGTATGAGGCCTGTGTACACACTTGCACAGGCAGTCTTCTCAATCCACACACTAATTCTGTGATGTAGGATTGTTCACCCCTATTTTTAAGGATGGAGGAAGTTAGATCTGAGAATGGTAAAACCATGAAATCCAGACTCACATGGAGAGGTCTAATGCAGGGAATTTCCACCCAGTGGGGACAGGCCTGGCCAGGAGGTAGGTTGTTGACCAGCTGTGGCCATACCTACTCCATGGGAGGAGAAGGGGTCCCAGTTCTAGCAGAAGAAATCTGATCTTAACACTCCATCCAGTGGACTCCAGCCCCTACAATGGGACGGGCTTCTGGAGACGAAACATACTCACACTCCACTGCAGAGATACCTGTGTGATCTGTGCGATCCCAGCCCAGCAGGTCAGGGTGCAGCCTGCTGGCCCCTTGTTGGCCGGCAGCTCCTTCCCTTCCAGACTCGGCCTCCAGACCCTGCCCTCTCCTTCTCCAGCTGCTGCTTCCACTGCCGGGCACTCCCTCCCCGGCAATGGAGAGCTGGGGCTCTGGCTTCTCAGAGACAAGAGGACAGCCTGGGGTCCCTTACAGAAGGTGCAGGGCAGGAAGAGGGCAGAGGTCTGAGGCCCCGAGCCAGCTGCGTCCACAGCACCCAGCACCGACAGAAACTCAGGCTTATGGCACCTGGGGCCCCGCCCTGTGAATAAGTCCGGGCACCTCCTCCCTGGGAAAGGGCACGATTGCCCAACACTCCTCCCAGAGCTCCTTCCTCATCCCCAGCCCCCACAGCCTGGCCAACCTGGGGGTCCCTGTAGGGGGCTGAGGGTTGTTTTCCTGACATCTGGGAGCTTCCTGCCCGGGAAGGTCTGCTCGGGGTCTGAAGGTGGTGGACTGAGCCCACTACCCGTGCCCTGCCCCTTTCCAGCCGACCCCGCCCCTTTGTAGCCTGATGCCCCGCCCCCTTGCACTCAACACCCCGCCCTTTTGCACCAGGGACGTCAGCCGGGACAGGACGGAAGAGGTGGAAATTGAAGGGTACATCCCCAGAAGGCAGCCAGCCATTCCAAATTCTGATCCTTGTAGCCTATAAGTCTGTCCATCATCCTCCTGCCACACCCAACCCTCAATGTCAAACTGCCTCCCATCGCAGGAAGCCTCCCACACGCCAAGAGTCTACAGCCCCCTACCCACTCCTAGCTCAAGGCCATGTTCCAATCAGCACCCAGCCATGTTCCTTTCAATCTCACCACTGATTATCTCAGATAAAGCACCTGCGTGGTTTAAGCCAAACCAGTCACTTTTTTCATGGAATACCATGAACAAATAACATGGATCAAATAACAGCCAAAGTACGGACACTGGTACTTGGATATACAGGAGACATTTTCTTGGAAATGAACAAAGTGAGGCTTTCACTTCAAGGAAAAACAACGATAATAGACAACAACAGTAATAGAATTTGTTAGCATAATAAAACTGGAGCTTTCAAGCAAAAATCAGAATTTTGGAACATTTGGGTCTGCCAAGATGCGTTTGACACCTTCCCCACAGCTAAAGACTTCACTGATAAGATCAATGGGGATAATAACAAATGTAGGAGATGGCTAACTAGAGACATAGGTCACCAGATCATCTCAGAAAGAAGGAAAAGATTTAGATTTTAAAAACCCACACGCACAGAGCTCAGGTATAATCCTGAGAGAAAAATGTCAGAACCTACCCAGGACTCCACAAGAAGTTGGGGAGCAGAACAAGAAGAAGCAAGATATCGACAGAGATCAACCCCCAAGAGCTGTGGAGCACTGTGGAAAGAGTGGATGCCTACCTACAGACGGCTCTTCTTGGAAAGAACAGTGTAAAACCTCAGAGAAGTGACACAAGACCGAAAGTGATGGGGTGATTCCTTTAGCCAGGCCAAAGGGTTCTGTGGGGAAGCATCCATGCATGGGGAAAAGCAGGGGGATAGAGCTCTGTGGTGCCATGCTCATCCCATAGGCACTGCAGCCCTAGCTGTGAGGGAGCTCCTTCCACCACTGCAGACTGCTGGAGGGGTCAAGGAGCTGCTCAGATTCTGTGCAGAGACATCCTAGGAACAGGTACCACAGGGCTCTGCAGGCTGCTGATTCGGGCTTTCTGCAGTGGGCACCATCCTGAGCTCTCAGGTGTGAGGCACCAGGTCTACTCAGGACTTGGCTTCGCAGAAGTAGCCTTTGCATCACCCCCTCCCACCAGAAAAGGAGCTGACAGAGCAGATGCTCCCCTGTGCCATACCCTGTGACTGGGAGCTGAGGTCCCTTCTCTCCTGGCATAGGCTCTGAGCAAAGAAGGTGCCTCAGATGCCACTGGCACCACCTGGGAAGTCTTGTGTGACTGCCTCAGCAGAACCTAGGCAAGGAAGAACCTGACCAGCCAGTGGCCCCAGCCTGCTCCATGGTCCCTGGACCACTAGAATTTATTCCTGCCCGCACAACTGCATCCACAGTTCCCACACCAGTGGAACGGCTCCAGGCCTATGTAACCCTGCCTCCACCATCCCCAGTTTTGGCTCTGAGGCTCCTCCCCTGTGACTCCAGAGCTATCCCCAAGGCCACAACACTTCCCCTAGATTCTAGGATGCACCTGGACTTCAAGATCCCACCCCTGCGTCTCCACTACTGCCACTGGCCCCAGAGCATTTCTCCAAGGTCCAATGCTCTACTGGGGACCCCCAGCCTCAAGCCATCATTACACCTAGATCTGATTCAAGCGAATGCCACAGCCCAGGCATCCACAACTACTCTCTAGGTATCCTCACCCAGATGCCACTGTTACCTCCCTGGGGAGACCCTGGACAGAGTAATCCCCCACGATGCTAGCCTCCATAGAGAAGGTCTCACCCAACCCCCAACTAGAACTTCCAACAACAATCTTACGAATCTAGGGAATTAGTAAATGAGGTCACTGCTGTCAGCTAAAATGTCTAATCAATTACACTGCCCCTTAGGGTAGAAATTTCACCTAAACTTTTAGCAGGAGAGGAGGATACATTCAATCAGACTTCTGAGCAAACTAAACATTTGTCATCCAATTTCATGTTGGCTAAAGACTTGGATTAGGGTATACAAAATCCAGTAACAGACAGACCTGAAACCACAGAAAATGTCTCTCCTGAAGCTACCAGCCGTATCTTGAACGTGAACCACCTACCAGGCCTACCATCAAGTCCCTCCATTCTACCACTCTTAATTTTTCCTACTTCAGATATTGACTTAGATTCTCCATGTGGGCTTCACTTTGCAGGAAGCTCCTGGAGGTTGCATCAAGTTCATAGAAATGCTGACCTTGCACTTCTTATTTTGTTAGGAAAGGATTTTGTAGTTCCTACATAGCTATGGGAAAGTAGGCTAAATCATGCTCCATTTCCTTAAAAAAAAAAAAAAAGCTTTCTTTATATACACACACATACTATGTATACAACATATGTAGAACTCTGCAAGCAGAATATTAAACAAGAATTTTTTTTTTAATTTCTGGTTAATGTGAGGGTACAAAAAACTAGGTTATAATGTTTGCATTTGTTAGGCAGGATCCCTCTTGTAGTTGTATTCTGCACCCAAGAGGTGTGCCATATGCCCTTAATTGGAACCAGATTTTTTAAGAGTTTTTTTGTGGCCAAAATAATTTATAATGTCTGATTTATTTATCTATGTTATTTGTTAAAATTTGGGCCTTTTAAACATGTTGGCAATATGTGCATACAAAGCTTTTTATTAAGATGATGTTTCCTGGAATAAAATTGATGGTTTTGAAAAGAATTTATGGGATTCAATAAAAGCAGTCCTAAGGGGAAATTATAACCTTAAATTCCTACATTAAAACAACACACAACTCAAGGAACTAGGAAAGGGTGAACAAACAAAACCCAAAGCCAAAAAGAAAAGAAAGAAACAACAAAGCTCAGAGCAGAACTGAAAAAAATGAAAAACAAAAGCATACAAAGAATCAATGAAATGAAAGGTTTTTCCTTGAAATAGTAAACAAAATTGATAGACCACTAGTTACATTAACCAGAAATAGAAGAGAAAGGACCCAAATAAGCTCAACCAGAAATTAAAAAGGAGATGCTACACAAGTCTCTACATCCACAAACTATAAAATACAGAGGAAATTGATACATTTCTGTAAACACACAACTTCCCAAGACTCAATCAGTAATAAACAAAACCCCTGAACAGACCAATAATAAGCAGCAAGATTGAAGTAGTAATTTAAAAATCCCCCAACAAATAAAATCCCCAGAACAGATGGATTCATGGTCAAATTCTACCAGATATACAAAGACGATCTGGTACCCAAACTACAGAAATTATCCCACAACATTGAGAAGGAAGGAATCCTCCCTAACCCATTGAGTGAAGTCCGTATCGCTTTCATACTAAAGCCAAGAAAGGACAAAACAACAACAAAGACAACTATAGACCAAAATCCCTTATGAAGATAGATACAATTCTATATTCATTCCTCAATAAAATATTAGCAAACTGAATCCAACAACACATCAAAAAATAATCCACCCTGGCCAAGTGGGTTTCATCCCAGAGATTCAAGGGTGATTGAATATATACAAATCAATAAACATAATTCACCATTCACAGAAACAAAAAAAAAGATTATGTGATCATCTCAATAGATACAGAAAAAGTATTCAACAAAATCCAGCAGGCTTTTATGATAAAAACTAGGTATAGAAGGAACATATCTCAAAATTATAAAAGCCATATATGACAGAC